TTATTATAAAGCTACAGTAATCAAAGCAATTTGATCTTGACATAAATATAAAAAATTGTATCAGTGGAAGAGAATAGACACATATATATGTGGACAACTGATATTCAACAAAGATACAAAAGGACTACAGTGAAGAAAGGATAATCTTTTCAATAATTGGTGCTGGAACAATCAGGTATCTACATGTAAAGCAATGAACTTTGATCCATATCTAAAACCATATGCAATTCTTAATAAGATTAATAGATTTCTCATCAGAGATCACTGAGGCTAGAAGGCAATAAGATGGTATATTTAAAGTGCTTAAAAAAAAAAAAGACTGTTAACCAAGAATTCTGTATCCATAAAACTATCCTTCAAAACTGAGGGAGAAATTAAGATATTCCAGATAAACAAAAACTGAGATAATTTATCACTAGCCAAACTGCCCGACATGAAATATTAAAAGGAGTCTTTTGGGTAGAAATGAAAGGTTGCTAGACAGTAACTGGAATCCACATGAAGAAATAAAGAACACCAGTGAACGTAACTACACAGTAAATATGAAAGAGATTATAAATATATTTTTTGTTTGTGTTAGCTCTGACTGCCATAACAAATTACTATAAACTGGGTGGCTTTAACAACAGAAATTTCTTTCTCACAGTTCTGGAGGCTGGAAGTCTGAGATCAGGGTGCCAGCGTGGTCAGGTTCTGATGAGGACCTGCTTCCGGGATTATAGACGGCTGTTTTTTCGCTGTATCTTCTTCACATGGTGAAGAGCAGAGAGAGGGCTAGCTGTCTTCCTCTTCTTACGTGGACACTAATCCCATCATGGGGGCCTCATCCTCATGGCCTAAGTACCTCCCAAAGGCCCCACCTTCAAATACTACCACATTAGGACTTCAGTATATGAATTTTGAGAGAACACAAACTTTCAGTCTATAACATTGTTTATAACTCTTTTTTCTTTTATATGATGTAAAAGACAGCTGCATAAAGCAATCATTATAAACCCATGTAAACCTGTGAAGATGGGTGCATAAAGATGTTATTTGTATGACGACCACAGCAAAAAGTGGGGGGAGGCAATGGAGCTATATAGAAACATTTTTTATATACTATTGAAATTAAGGTGGTATTAATCTAGATTGTTATAGGCTGAGATGTTAACTGTAATCTTCAGGGCAACCACTAAGAAAATAACTTGTTTTTGTTTTTGTTTTTGTTTTTGTTTTTTTAAAAGGTAGGGCTGGCCCCGTGGCCAAGTGGTTAAGTTCTGCTCTCCGCTGCAGGCGGCCCAGTGTTTCATTGGTTCGAATCCTGGGCGCGGACATGGCACTGCTCATCAGGCCACGCTGAGGCAGCGTCCCACGTGCCACAACTAGAAGGATCCACAACAAAGAATATACAACTATGTACCAGGGGGCTTTGGGGAGAAAAAGAAAAAAAAAAGTAAATGGAAGGACAAGGAAAGTAAAATTGTACCCAGAAAATGTCTATTTAACACCTAAGAAGACAATAAATGGAGAAACAGAGGGGAAAAAAAAGACATATAGAAACAAGGAGCAAAATGGCAGACATAAATCTTACCTGAACAGTAGTTATGTTAAGTATAAATGAGTTAAACATTCCAATTAAAATGCAGATATTGGGAAAATTAGTACAAAAACAATGATCGCACTATGTGCTGTCTATAAGACACACACTTTAGATTCAAAGACACAAATAGTTGAGAGTAAAAGGTGGAAAAAGCTATACCATGAGCAGAGTAACCAAATGAGAGCTGGAGTAGCTATAGTAATATTAGACAAAATAGATTTAAAACAAAAACTCACCAAAGATGAAGAAAGACATTTTATAGTGATAAAAGGGTCATTCCATCAAAAATAAAAAAAATCATTGACACATAGGAGCCTAAGAACGGAGCCCCAAAATACATGAAGCAAAAATTGACAGAATTGGGGCTGGCCCCGTGGCCGAGTGGTTAAGTTCGCGCGCTCCGCTGCAGGCGGCCCAGTGTTTCGTTGGTTCGAATCCTGGGTGCAGACATGGCACTGCTCATTAAACCACGCTGAGGCAGCGTCCCACATGCCACAACTAGAAGGACCCACAACAAAGAATATACAACTATGTACTGGGGGGCTTTGGGGAGAAAAAGTAAAAAATAAAATCTTTAAAAAAAAAATTGACAGAATTGAAGGGAGAAATAGACAATACAACAACGATAATTGGAATCTTCAATACCCCACTTTCAATAATGGATAAAACAGCTAGACAAAAGACCAATCATGAAATATTCTTGAATGACACTGTAGACTAACTAGAACTAACAGACATCTGTGGAACATTCCATCCAAACAAGAGCACATTCTTCTCAAATGCATATACAACATTCTCCAGGATCGATTATATGTTAGGCCATAAAACAAATCTCAATAAATTTGAAAGAACTGAATCATGAGTATGTTCTCCAACCATAAGGGAATGAAATTAGAAATCAATAACAGAAGGAAATTTGGGCAATTCAGAAATATGTGGAAGTTAAACCACAAACTCCTAGATAACCAATGGGTCGAAGAAGAAATCACGATAGAAATTAGAAAATAATTTGGGATGAATGATAATGAAAGCACAGCATACCAAAACTTGTGGGATGCATCTGAAAGAGTGCTTAAATGTTCTGGCTGCCTCTGAAACACCCAGCTCTGGCATCTCTACTCTAGTCAAAGGCAGGAGTCCTGAAAAACAACCTCAAGACTCTGATCCTCTAAGCACCTGCTCAGGAGATTGGTTTCAGGCATCCTCCAGTAAATGCTGCCTGGATCAAGGGATGAGCTTTCTCCTTCAAAGTCACAGGACTCTTACCACGTGTCAGGCTAACTCCTGCTTCCATATATAACTTTTTCCTTCATGGGGCCCTTCAGGGGACTCCATATCCTCTTGGGTCGAGGCTAGACTCCTCTGTCTGGCTTTTTCGGCCTCTCCAAGATGGCACTAACTTGATTTTTCAACTGTAGTCCCTACTACTCTCCAGTACCCTCCAGTCAGGCTCATCACCACCCAAGAGATTTTACTCCCTGTGGTCCAGCAGAAGGCGTACAGGCTTCAGGGCCAGACAGGCCATGATGCAAATCTTAGCCTGTTGTGTGATGTTGAGGGGTTCAGTTTCCACATAGTAAAACAGGGATTTTAAAAAATCTGCCTGTAGACACGCTATATGCATTACACAGTGTCAGGCGTATAGTAGGGATTCCTTATATGGGAATTATTATTATTATTATTATCCCTGCTATTCTCCAACTGTCTAGATCCTCTATGACCTTCAAAGTCTCTCCAAGGTCCAACCACCATAAAGTCATCTCTCACTATTCCTTTCCTCATCTAGTGTGGCTCTAATCAGAAAGCAATTGGTTAGTCACTCTCTGGCTATTATTGTATATCAACAAAAGTTTTTTCTCAACCAGGCAGTGAGCAACCTGAAAGGATATATTGTATTCTAGTCAAGAACACCTCTTCAGTGGTAGTACAGCATAGTGCTTAAAATCCTAGACACAGGCCCGCCTGGTGGCGAAGTGGTTAAGCTCTCATGCTCTGTTTTGGCAGCCCAGGATTCATGGGTTCAGATTCCCGGCACAGACCTCCTAGCACCACTCACCAAACCACACTGTCGTGGCATCCCACATAAAATAGGGGAAGATTGCCACACATGTTAGCTCAGGGTCAATCTTCCTCAAGCAAAAAGAGGAAGATTGACAACAGATGTTAGCTCAGGGCCAATCTTCCTCACCAAAAAACCCGATCTTAGACTCTCGAGCCAGACTGGATTCATAGCCCAGCTTCTTAATTTACCTAAGTGACTCTAGGCAAATCATTTGCCCTCTCTGTGTTCAGTTTCCCCATCTGTGAAATGGGACAGCAATAATAACAAGTGACACATAGAGTGGCTGTGGGGCTTAAATAGAATAAGAAGCGTGTCTGGCACATAGCATCTACTTAATTATTGCCTATTGAATAAATTGACTCAAAGACCAGAATGTTAGGCAGGTAGTTGCTGAAATTAAGTTGACTGGCACAAGTCAATCTCCTTCCACCATAAAAATTAAATTTGGCAACACACTAGTCACTTTGGTAAGTTTGCTTGATTAGAGTGTTAAGAGCAACATAGTAAGATAAAATAGTTGTAGCCAAAGTTGTTTTTCAGGAAATGATTTGAGACTCAGCTGAAAGCCCTAAACCCCATAATTAGGAGGGTATCCTAATATACTGCCTAAATGTAAATGTAAATACCTGTGAGTCCTAAAAGATTGACTGTCATTGTCTTGTCTAATTAATAAAGGAAGGAGATAAGACCTGAACAGATTGCCTTTCAAAGATATTGAGTATTTTTTATGTCCAGAAGTTTTTGGTTTGTAAAATCACCTGGGAGTACGCATTATTATCCCCATGACGCAGCAGAAGAAACTGAGGCTCAGAGAGGTTACTCAAGAGGTTAGGCAACTCATGGTTACAGCTGATGAGTTGGCAGGGCCAGATTCAAACCCAGATCTCCCTGACTCCCAGCTCACGCTCCTCCCATCCTCACAAAGTGAGGTCCTCAGGTGAGGCCCCGGTGACGTGACCTTGGGCGTCCACCTCAGACTTTCTGTGGATATGCACAGAGACAGACAGTGCTCCAGCTACCGAGTTTGAAGACTCCTGGTCACCCTTCTGCCTGAGGGACTGGTCTTCTCCTGGCTGAAAAGACTGTCTAGGTTTACAGAAATGTGCTCACGATCTTAGAGGAAAATGGAGACCCAACTTATGAGAGAAGGAAGCTGGCGCTGCCCCAGATCCACCACCTCTTGTGCAGAAGTGATCTCAGATGCCCTTTACCTCCCATCCCCCATCCCTGCCCCTCACAAACTCTACAGGCAGAGATGAAAGTGTCTGCTGTCGCACAAGGGCCACTTGCGGTTTCCCTCCCAGCTCAGTGCACCACTTGGGAGGGCCTTCAGCCACTTCTCATTATGTAACTTATTTCAGTTTCTTTGCCACAAGTGAACGAGGGCCAAAGGGAGGCATCTTCTTTGTTCTCAGAGCCTGCCCTGGAACTAGCCGCGTGCCATTCGGAAGACGCAGCTGTGCCGAGTGTCGAGGCAGTGGCTCTCCCTCCCTGGCTCCCCAGCCATGGCCTGGCAGCTCTCTGCAGTGGTGGTGCTCTTCGTGTCCCTGGCTGGTGAGTGATGCACATGATTTCCATGGTGACTCTGCCATGTCTGGTCCTATTAAATTTAATGCATTCTAGCGTACTGCCCAAGGTGGGTCAGGACAGACTGAAGCAGCTGTAGTAGCTGCAGCTCCTGTGGGCACTTGGCTTGGGAGCATCTCCTGCTTACTACTGCACACATGTGGAGCACATCTTCATTTTTTTCCAAGGGTTTTAACAGTTTGGACTTGTTTTCCATGAGTCAGGTAGAGTAGCTGTCAACCCCAGAAGACAGTGACACTGTCTCTGGTTCCCAATTGGGTTCTGGGCACCTTATCAGGGAGAGTTTGTAGAAATCACTTAGATTTAAGAGATGGAGAACTGAATCAGGGCTTAGAAATGGATTCTTGCTACATTGTCCAGGAAAAGCACATCGTGTCTTGCTTTTCCTGTTTTTTCTCAAACAGAAATGCTATATGTATATTACATAAACTGAATCGTGAAGATGAATGAGATGTGGTGTAACAAATTGTGCCATTTCAGAAAGGTGTAAGACAGGGTGTCAAAGATTTTTTTTTTTTTTTAATTACCATTATACTTCAGATCAGAGAGGTTGTCTGGGAAACTGAGCTTTTAATGATTATTTCATGTTCCTACCCGCTGCTTTCACCAAGAACATTTTCTCCCTAGGACATTGAGGGCTCTTGTGTGCTGTTGTCAAGTTTGCTGGTTAATTCGCAATTCTTTCTAGAACCACTGAATTGAAAATGTGAGGGAACTGGCTCTGTCCACACGGCCCTGCTCACATGCTAAAATGGGGGACACAGTGGCACTTGATTGTAACATGAATTGTCATGAAAGTTGGGTGAAGGGTCAGGCGAGTTGTCCCAATCTAAGTTGTTTTTCCTTGTGCCACACTTTCAGAATTAGAGTTTCACATTCTTTTGGAGGCTAAAGGGGAAGTCCTCATTACATTTAGCAGGGCAAGCTAATAAAAAAGCAGATCTCCTTCTAGCAACAACCTTCAGGGACCTGGGTGTGAGCGCCAGTTCAATGGCTGATAGATGTCTGGCGGATTCAGGAACGCAACGAGCGCTCCATCAATGCAAGGGCAGGTGGAGAGAAAATGCCCATGTTGCCCTTTCCTCTCTGGGCAGCAAATTCTCAGAGGTGAACTGAGTGAATGAAGCATGTGAAGGTGCTGGAAAAGGTTTCATTTTCCAGATGAAAGTACTGAGGCAGGTGAAGGAATTGCTCATGATCACTCAGCTAGCAAGTGGCAGCCCTGAGATTTACATGCAGGAAGTCCAGCGTCAAGGTCTGTGCTCTGCACTCCTGTGCTGCACGGCCCTGCATGCAGCGGTTCAAGACATACTTGCTGAATCGAAGCAAAAACTATTAGCCATTGGCTAGGAGAGAAACAGCTTCTAGGTAAATTAGCCATTTAGTCTTTGCTGCTCTGGCTCCAGATTCCTCCCCTATAAAATGACGGGATTTAAGTTTGTATCTAAGTCTAGGTTCAGCTGCACGTAAGGGACAAGCCCCCAGATAATAATGAATTAAACAAGAGAAATGTTTGTTTGTCTCTCAAGTGAGAACAAGTCCAAGACCAGGTCTGATGTGGGGGCTCGTGATGTGGACCCACCATCCTATGAGTGACTTCCACCTGCAAGGTCTCCTCATGGTTCTAGGTGTCTGCTGAGCTCCAACCATCATATACAAGTGGCAAGCTGGTTACAGGAGGAAAGTGGAAAGGCAATAGAGAGGCCATGTAGGTGATGGAGGTCCCTTCATGCAGCCTTCCCCGAAGGCCCACATAACCCTCCCACTTCTATCGCCTTGACTCAAACTCAGTCACACGTTCCCACCTAGCTGGAAGGGAGGCTTGGACCTAGGGTTCTTTATTCCAGGCAGCAAGTGCTCTGCTTGAACTCATGATTCTGTTATCAAGGAAAAAGGAGAGACTGGATTTGGGGGTAGTCAGCCAGTAGTCTCTGCCGCAGGGCTAGAACCCCTTCTGTTCAAGGGTTCTCTTTGAATCTCAAGTCCCACAGGAAACTAACAGAGGTAGGATTTACATCTTTTTGCTAAAAGGTCTAAGGTTAGGCTGTGAAACTGTGAGCAGAATCTTGCTAAGGGCCCACCCCTGCCACCCCACACGTCTAAAAACGGTCTTCCTGCTGCACCCAGCTGGGCTGCTTCTGCTGCCCAGGGAGGTGCCAGAGAAAGTGCTCGGAGGCTAGCCTCAGTTCCCTGCCCCTGGATGTGGCCACGGGGCTCCATTTACCCCCCCCAGCTGTGATCCTTAGAGCTCTGCAGGCAAAGTATAGCCTCCAAGACCTGCCACTCCTGCTCCCTGCTGGGCCCCCAGCTCACCTCCCGTTCCCCACACCCTCCTTATGTTCCATCACGACCCCCTTGCTGTTCTCCAGAGCCTCCGTGCCTTTGCACACCCTCTTCCTGCTGCCTGGAAGAATTTCTCCTTGTGTTGGATTCCCACCCCACCCCATAGAACTTGGGGCCTGCCACCATGATAACACTTGTCCACTTGAAGAGTGTGGTCCCTTTTTGTATCTGCCTCACAAGGCTTTGAGCCTCTGAGAACCAAGAACTACCCCAAGTGCCTGGCCTGGAGCTTGGCTCAGAGGAGGCTCCCACATATCTGCTAACTTGAGTGTGGCAGGGAACCAGGCAGAGGCTATCTGGGAGGGACCGACCGTAGGGAAATACCTAGAAAAGCCCAGTATTGTCACTGACTTTCCCAGGGCCTGGCCCACGAGTCATCTCTCAGTTCCACCTGTGGGTTATCGGGGAACCAAAACCTTCTCACACCTCTTCCTGCAGCTCACCATCGAGCAGACTTCAAGCAATGGGCCAGGGCCCTGAGGTACTTGTTTGCTCAGTCTCCTGAATCCTGGAGAGGAGATGCTGGGGTGCAGCGGTGGGGACTTGACAAGTCAGCATGCAGACTCCAGGGCTGTGTTCTTTTGAGAAGGAGGGTCGAGACAGAGTCTGAGCTATATCCTACCCTTGCTTCTACACACTGCCTTCTTTGTGGGTTTCAGACAGACCTGTGAGCTTGACTAAACCTGTATGGGGCCAGAGGTCCCATTTAAAAACTGTGACCCAATTTTTACAAAGATTGGTCATATATGTGTGGTCATATGTATAGATTTTGTAAAACAGAGTATTTCTCGGGGTATTATTTCCATTTAGTACCTAACACATGAACTTTATGGGGCATATTACAATGCACAGCACACCTAACCCGGTCAGTTTTCCATCTAATCACCTGACCCCCTTTTATACCCTACACTCCCACAGGGAGATGGAGAGAGGAGGGGAGGGCAAGAGAGGGGAAGGAGAAGAAGGTTTGAACAGTATTTCCCAGACTGGTTCAGTCTGTAACACACTCTGACCAACTTTTGGTCACTTTTGGTCCAGCCACCTGCCAGCCCAGCCTGTCCACTACAAAGTCATGTACCATATCAAGACGCCATAACTGCCATCACCTCCAGCCACTCCTCAAATACTGCCTACACACCAAGCACACCTTGACGGGGCACCATGAGTCTTCTTGTCCTGTTTGGGATGCTGTGCATTCGTGAGTGACCACTGTGCTTTTTTCCCCTTCTTTGAGTTCCTTCATCACTACTGAGAGAGGTGTTCTAATCACATTATTAGGAAGGAACCTCCTTTTACAGATGTGTTACTCAGTTGAGGAAATTCTACTCAGTTGAGACGATTTGCTTTAACTCATGAGCACGAGCTGTACACAGTGGGATTTTGTCAAGGACCTAATGATGTCCCCAAGAGAGCAAAAAGCAAGTGATGTCCAGTCTCTGAGAGTTCCCGGCAGCAACCTTTGCTTTTTACTACAGGATATTCCTAGAAACCACATCTGAGAGTGAATTTTCTTTCTCCATAGTAATAGTATGAACTGAATGGGGTTCCTGTTGGATTCCTGACCGAGGAAACAGCCCCTCAGGTTGAGCCCAAATGAATTATGAAAATAAATCTCCAACAACTGTCAACCTTCATAACAATCCTGAAAGGAAAAATCTTGCTCCATGCTCTATAATGTGGCCATAAGGTTCCACACATAGTGATTTTACAAAGACTTACAAAGTCAACCTCCAGCCCATAAAATCCACGACTCTCAAGTATGATACATTTCACTTATCCAAATAAACATTTTAGATACAAAAAAGACTCTTTAATGATAGTCTCCAGTAACTTAATGTCATTAATAATAAGTCTTTTTGAAAGTTATCCAAGGCTATGTGAACTACCACTTCCCCCCATTTGGCAAGCCAGCTGTGCAGAAATAATTCCTAAGTGTTACCACTGGGTTTAAAGTTAGAACTTTCCTTTGAGAAAATAATCACTATTTTAGTACATGAGCCTTTGAAAGCCTCACCAAGGACCTCCATTATGAGGGTTTGGTGAATTGAGGTCACTGGAAGGGCGCCTACTCTTTTCTCCTCTGCTGCTGTTTCTTCTCTCACCATTCCTCCCAGTGAGGCACCCATCCCCACCCATCCCCAAATCCAAGGGCAGGCTTTGGTCCAGGCAGGGGCTCAAGTCTCAGCTCCAAAATTTATTAGTGCTGTGATTGTGGTCAAGTTGATGGAATTTACTAAATCTGAGTGTCCTCATCTGAAAGATGGATAAAGACAGTACCCATCAGAGGGTTTTTGAGAGGAGTTGGTAAAAGATGACCCTTGACTTGAGGCCTGCCGTAGTAAGTGTCTAGTAACTTGGAATTTTTAGTGTTGTTATTCTAGGAATAGTAACCACTTAGAAATGTATTGAATGGAAGAGGGAGATAGTACCGGAGTTTATGGATGATTTCGATGAGATGTGAACTTCAGGACTCTACAAACACCAGCATAGAGTGAGCTCCCATCCCTTCTCCCCCATGTTCACCCAGGTCACTGCCCAGCACAAGAAGCTACAGCTCCAATGAGCGTAAATACAGTGAAACCACTGCACAGAACAGGCAGAGCCATCTCTCTGTGTGCCTGACCGTAAACACTTAAGGAACATCATTTGCACTTTGTCCAATTTTCTGGCTTGCCACATGCCTGGAAGGAGACAAGGATAGGCCTATTCTGGTTGGAAAAAAGCCAGAGGACTTTGCCCTTAAGGGATGGCCCAGGAGAGAACCTGTGACAGTAACACACGCTGTGGGTATGCTTAATGGTCCAGGAAGACTTTCACTTAAACCAACTTGTTTGAGGCTTACCACAATCCTAGAAGGTCTACAACACTCTTATCCTCACTTACGCATTCAGTTATTTATTCTTCCACCCCACACCCACCGAGCACTTTCTATGCACTGGCACTGGTGGTGCAAAAAATACACGCAGTTCCCACCTGGAGGTTGCTTTTAATGTTGTGGGAGAGACGTACAGTGAATATAAGCCAATAAACAATTTTATAATCAGGACTGATATTCTGCTGGTACACACTGTCTGGCCAAGCTTATTATTAAATGTTTGAAAACCATCCCCTCATATAATTACAAGTTGTGACTAGTGCAGTGAAGGCAATGAATACAACACTGCGATGGACAATCATGGGGGTGGGAGCTATTTTATGTTAGGAGGAAGGGAGGACTCTCTGAGGAGCTGACATGTAAGCCAAACCATAAAGGACAGCCTACCAGAGGTATCCAAGCAGTTACAGCTTAATTTTCTTTCTTAGTTGAGAAAGGCTGGGCCATTCAAAATGTGAAGTAAAGAAATGACTGGAACTGGTCTATACAATATTTAGAAAAACTGGTGGCAAGATTAAAACATGGAAGGGAAATGAATCTCTCATGATTGGAGGTAATTATGCATAGATTGGATGAACATGTGGCAAATATCCATAGGTACAATTCACACATCAGATTAGGGTTTGGACTAGATGATCTTTAAGGCCCACTTTGGACCTGGGATTATATGATTCTATGCAAACGGTACAACTCTGCGTAAATCTTTCTCACCATTGTTCCTGCAGCCCCAGCTCTATCAGGTCATCACAGCGGCACCCCACCCAGGAACACTCTCTACCTAGGGACACTCTCTGGAGTCACATTTGAAGATGGGGAATGAAGAGGCATCGACACTTAGATAGCTCGCTGAGCATGATCACTTTGGGGTGTTAGTACCACACACCCCACACAGTCAAAGGGGCTGCATGCAGAAGGGTATCTGCCATAGGATCACAAGCCTGTAAAAAACATGAGAGCAACCAACACATTAAAACTGTGGCCTCGCGGTAGAATCTTGGGTAATCTTTACTTCATTGTTATATTCTTGTAAATTTCTCCCAAATCTAAAAATATGCATGTTAATTTTTAATGACGAACCATTAAAATGGAAGCGGGAGAGGGACTCTCTCCCTCGCTCATGTGAGCTATTACTTATTTGTTAATGCTTTTGTTTCCTAATTTGCAGTGATTTTGTATTATGGCAGTCACGTCAGAGCGAATGTGTTTCCAGAAATCACAGACTATTCTCAACCGACCACAGCGGCAACCATACAGACCAGAGCGCAACCTTCCCTCTCGCAACCAACTAACCAAGTGCCTCACAAAACTTTGGCAACAAGATCAATGGATGGTCAGGTCACCTCTCAAACAGCTGCCACAACCGTCAACCCTGAGACCCCAGTCACACACACGACAATAAAAACTGCAGCAGCAACTTCCCTGGTAACTACAAACAGCACCCTGTCCACCAGCCCAATAACCAACACCCTACTCACAACTCTGGCTACACCCGACAACACACACACCACCACTCCAGTCACTGAGGCTACAATCGGCCCCAGTGCAGGTCCCGGTTCACCGCCCACCACCATCACCACCACCTCATCAGCCTATACAACTGGAACCAGGTCATCGACTGTCAGCCACACAACTGGGAAAACCACCCAACTCAGTAACCAGACCACCCTTCCAGCAACTTTGTCCACCTCACCACACAACAGCACAACCAGCCAGAATCCCGCTCACTCCACCCACACCCCAGGACCAACCACAGGCACATGCAATACCACCCAAACGGCCTCACCTACCACCACGGCTCCTGGGCCCACCCTCGCACCTCAGCCCTCGTCAGCCAAGACTGGAATGTACCAAATTCTAAATGGAAGCAAGCTGTGCATCAAAGCAGAGATGGGGATACAGCTGACAGTTCAAGACACAAAGTCGGTAAGTTGGGACCATAGGACTGTAACGCTATCTTCAAAAATTCTGAGTGGAGTTTGCCTTGCCAAGAATGAACACTCCTCTGCATCTTCTGTCTTTTAATGAAATGAATAGCTGTGAGCTCCTCTTTCTCCAATGTGCTCCATTAAAAGGTGAATCTGTTTTAGAAGACATATAAAAAGAGAAACCAAGGGTGACTGTTTGGAAAACACGCCAAAATTTTAAATATGCGCATCCATCACTTTTAGCAGGCAGAGTGTTGGGGTGTGTCCAGTATGGACCCCAACCTGGCCCTACCCCTCCGGATGACTTTCAAGCCTCAGCAACTTTCCTGGGAAATGAGAAATTTGTATTAGATGGTCTCCATGGTTCCAGCCAGCTGTGCCATTAATGTGAAAAATCCAGATTAACAAGAAGTTGGGGGGAGGGGGGACGGGTGGCTAAGATTCTTTGTAGTACCTTTCAACCTATTTCCTTTAACAAAAATTAAATTCCATGCAGTTTATCAGGAATATACCTATCAGGAATTATCCAGAAATTCTTCTCTGTGAGAGAACTCCATGTTAAAAAGTGTTTTGAATCTAACAGTTTGGAAATGAGAGTTGTCTTCCAAGGACTTAGAAATTCTCAAGTGAATACCCACGAGCCTTGAGTTTCCGGCTCACGTCCTGGCCTGTGCTTCTGGTTCCCTAGCTACAGTTTTCGTCTACATCTCATTGACCTGATCTGTCTTTTTTTGGTTTAGGCTTCTCCACCTCAGGGATACTTCAACATCGACCCCAACACAACTCAAGTCTCAGGGATCTGTGGCTCCCGAAAATCCAACCTTCTCTTGAATTTCTGGGGCGGATTTGTGAATCTCACATTTACCAAGGTAAGCACTGAGCTCCTTCCTACTAGCTGGCTCTGGCATCGCTTTCCCTTCCCTCACCCTGTGGCCTAGTGGTGCAATCCCCCACTTCACTTGAAGTTCCAGGGGAAATAGATCTGAGAGCCTTTTGAGGTATTCTCTGATAAGAACGAGGGGCATGGAGATGGAGAGGAGGGAAGTGTCGACATCTCATGTTTGCCTTCTTCCTCCTTCGACCTCCTTTGTGCAGCCCAAGAAGGGCTTCGAGGCCTCTTAGAGGAGATTTGGCCTTGGGGAGCCTGGCCACAGGTGCCCTTTGCAAAGCATCCAAGGAGGAAGTTGTACAGATAAACGGACCCATAGAAATTCCCAGTGGCACAAACAAACAGGATTATTCTAAAACCAAAATCAGATGTCACAATGGGTCTTTCCAACCACGGCAGGCAAAATTTAGGGACTAACCAGGTATTGGGTTTTCCAGACCATCTTCTGGAAGGGGGTAGACAGCGCAGTAGCATGGAAAGAGCACAAATGTGCGGTCAGAGAGTCTTGGCTGCAAGTTTGATCCTCACTTGTTCTCCTTGTGACATCAGGCAGGCAGCTTAACCTGTTTGAGCTTTATTTTATCATTTAAAAAATGGGAGAAAGGTATTAAAGATCACCTCTGTAGAGAGCGGTGTCCAGTACATGGAAAGTAGTTGTGCAACAGCCAGTAGCTATGATTACAGTGACCGAAATGGGTAAATGTCTTGGGGGTACAATACTGGTCATCCCACTCTCAAAGGAGAGACTTGTCCCTGCTTGTCCCAAAGTGTCTTTCCAATAGGCCAAGTAAGAGCCAGAGAGGAGGCCCCTTGCAGCTGGGACTCACCTGTCTAATGTGACCTCTGAAGTTAGAGGGGATCTTGGTTAGCAGCTCTTGGAAGGGAATGAGCATAGACTTTGGGGTCAGACCAATCAAGATTGACTCTCAGCCGTAATACTTACTAGCTTGGTGATCTTGGACTAGTTGGGGCATGTTTCCTAATCTAGCAAATGGAAATAATTACACCTACTTAGTAGGACCCTTGGGAGAATTAGAAATGGTCTCTGTAAACCATCTAGCACTGTGCTTGGTACGTGACAGTGTTCAATAAAGAGGGGGTTGTTATCATAGTTGTTGTTGTTATTATTAACTTGATCTCAAAGGCTTTATCTTCCTCGTGCCTACTTTTCTCCTTAAGGTAGAGATGCCCTTGAGAAATCAGTGGTTTCCTTTCAGTATCAAATGGGGAAAACATAACCCCTCACACGAGAAGAACATTCAGGGCAGAGTAAGTGCTCCATTCCTGGACAACAGAGGTTACACTGTAAAGGTGTCAGGAAGTTTTTAAAAGTCACTTCAGCAAATGGCAGAGGATAGAGAGAGAAGCATTTATGCCTCCGTTCAGGGCTTGATTCCACCCAGACGACTGCCTGTGTGAGTAACTGCCTAAAGGAAGGCATCGGAACCCCCAGCATTTGTCTGTGGCACACAATGGCCACTGCTGCCAGGCCTGAGGCAGAACGGCAAGCAGGAGTTTCTTTGGCTCCTGTCCAGGTCTCTCTTTGCTCCTTTCTTCTACCTCCTGAGGCCCCCATCCCTGCCTTCCCAGAATCAGGCTGGGCTCTGTTTGATCAGACTCCACCCAGGTATAGAATCCCTGCCTTTCTGGAAGTCCTCTGTGCCTCCAGACGTGTGGGCAGGAAATGAGTGCCCAGATAGAGTTAGAAGGACCAGCAAGGTCTCCCTCCCTCCATCCACTTCAGGAAGGAGCAAGGTGAGCCACTCGCAATCCAGAACCCCAAGCATTGCAGTAGCTGCTCTTCCTGAGTCTCGCCAGCCAAGTTCACTTTATTCATTCCATTCCCCCGGCACCCATTCCCCGAGAAGCTACCACCTTAGCCATGTGAAGAGGAACTCTGCTTTCAGGCTCAGAGAAGGTCAAAGTTCCCACCAGCCTTAGTCCTTCTGGGAAATTTCTGCATTTTGAAAGAGAACTTGGTTAAGCCCAAACGGTGGCCACAAATTCAAAGATTACAGGGGCTAAGCATAGAACTTAATGAGGGAAGTAGGCTAGGAAAAATTTCTTCTTCCTTGAAATGGGTAGTCCTTATTTTTCATTCTCCCACTTTTGATGAAGACTACATTTTTCCATTAAATCTGCATAAGCAAAATGTTAGAGTAAATGTGAGATGAGAAGTGGCAAGCCTCAGTGGTGAAGAGACAAAGGCAGGGGTAGGGACTGCCCGTCTTCCCCACAGGGGGCAGCCAGTCCTCAGCTCTGGCTCGCGGTGCCAGTGGCTGGGCTGGCATCTAGCCCCAGGACTGTCCCTGTCTTTTATGGTGGGCACTCATTCTGGATGGTTGGGTGTCCATTCTGAGTGGCTACTGCCCTACTGTGCCATTTGCTAAACCTTTTACATATCCCCTCTGTCTGGTGATAATGGGAGACCCGTGTTGCCAGATCTTCTGATTGTTCAAGAGAAGGCAGAAATCCAGATCTTTTTTAAAAAGCACGTGATTTTTTAGCGTTGGCAACACATTTTTTAAAAATTTGAACACTATGCTGGACAAGCAAAACATACCTGTGGGTCCACTTTGGCCTGTGGACCCCGGTGGACTGTCTAGATGGCAGGAAAGCCATCTAGATTCTTCCACAAGAGAAATGGGCTCAGCAATTCCGTCAGCCACTTTTTAATTGTCACCACCGTCTAGACCAGCGTTTCTCAACAGCAGCAGTATTAACATTTGGAGCCAGATAAGTCTCTGTGATGGACGCCCTCCTGTGCTTGTGGAATGTTGAACAGTATTCCTGGCCTCTACCTATTTGATGCCAGTAGCAACATCCAACCCCAGTTGTGACAACCCCAAATGTCTCCAGACATTACCAAACGTCCCCAGACATTACCAAATGTCCCCTGGGGGGCAAAACCACCCCTGTTTGAGAACCACTGCTCTAAAGAAAAAGAGCTCCTTGGAAAATAGGAGTTTACATTAGTTATAACATAATAAATGTTATAATTGAGAGCCAAGTTGTAGAAAGATAGCCGGATGCTGATTTATCAACCAATTTATCAATAAGAATTTACTGAGCACCTACTTTGTCCCCATCACTGAGCTAGACATTACAGGAGAAAACAAAAGTCAGAGAGGCTGTAGTTCCAGCTTTCAAATCATGTAGAATAATTTGTAATTTTAAAAATTGAAACACTGCCAGTGATAGAAACGTAAAGAAAAATCTGCCTTCTAAACTGTCACTTGATATTGGACAAGTTGCTAGCTCTCTCACTGAGCCTCAGTTTCCTCTTCTGTAGGATGGAGCCAACCAGCACCTCTTTGATTGGGCTGCTGTGAGGGTGATCTGGGCTGGCATCTGTGAGAGTGCTGAGCAGGGGGTCTGGCTCATGGTGGGATTAGGAGAGGTGGGTTCCCTTCTCATTTCTCTCAGTTTTATCTTTTCAAGAACTGAAAACCTTCCCACATCAGCATCTCATTTGATTAAGGTGGCTTGCTGAAAGTCGTTCAGCCCCTTCAGGTGCAGGATAAATATACCTTTCTTCCCCCCACTCCCCACAACTTCCTTCCTGCTTGGATAGTTAGTTTTAAAACCGTCTTTCTGCCCCTTTGTGTAGAGTTTATTTTTGTGTGCTCCACACTATCGCTTTCTCCTCCACCTGGTTGGCGGGGCAGCTCAAGGCCCCCAGCCCTGGCTCCGGGACGTGGGAGGAATCAGTCACCCAAGGGAAGAGGCAGCAGGGCCAGGCAGTGTATCAGCCAGCCGAGTGTGGCAATCCAATGCTGCCCACCCACCTGGTGCTTCCCCAGGCCTTTCAGGGGCCTTTGGAGCCCTCTTAGCTTATAGATTCCTGAGAGCTGTTAGAATTCAAATGCAAACATCCTCAGAGGGCGCTATTTAGAATGTCCCACGTGGGCTGTACCATTTCCTGCCCTGTTCTCCCTCTGCCTGGAATGCCCGTCCCACCCCTAAGCCCCCTTTTGCATTCATCCTTTAAGATGGCTCAATTATCTTCTCCCTATGAAGTCTCCCCTTTCCCAACCCCATCTCTACCCCGGGTAAAACCAAGAGATTTTCTTCTCTTGGTTTCCTGAGCCTCCTTTAATGCACCTGTCACACATTTTGCCATCTTGAAGGCAAGTCAATGACTTATTCACATGTCTTTCTAGTGCCCAGCCCTGACTTTGTATGTAATAGATCTTTAGCAAATGTTTGACAAAGAAATGAACCAATAATGGAGTGAATCTAAATTTCACAGAGAACTCTGGGCCAAGTTGCCAAGAAGTAGCCCAGCAGCTCTAAAAAACAGCCTCTTTGGCTTCCTTTTGCTGTGTCTAGAGCAAAGGTTTCTTGATGTAGTCACAACAATGCTGAGCAAAACAGGCCTGATTGATGTTGAAGACAGAATCCACATCCTAAACATCTGTGACTATGAAATTGCCACAATACAATTGCAGAAATCAAGGAGAGGACCCTGGGCCTCGCGGTCATTGGTATGCTGCCTTCCTGGGCAAGCTTGATTGGCTGTCTTATGCTGGACCCCATCCTTGCAAAGAAGGATGTTAAGGTTCCTTGAGGAATTAGGATCTCTTTGATGAGATATTGTGGAGCTCTCTTTAGATACGGGCAGTGAGGAGCCACTGTGTCAGCATCCCATTGGTTGAAGAGTGAGTTGGCACTGTTGCAAGTAGTCCCTTCAAATAGACATTCTGTGAGTGCTAAAGTGCCATATTCGGCTGTTAGGAGTCCTTGGCCCCCTTTTGTGAATGCTGATGGGTACAGAAAGGATTTTTACTTTGTCTTCAAGAATCTGGCATGGGAGACATTTGTCAGTCTCCAACCCAAACCCCAAATGAGAAAACATCTGGCAGAGAATGATCTACTTGGGTGTCAAAGGAGAAAGCAGACATTATAAACTGCATACCGTGCGGCATGTCATTTACCCTGGGCTTTGGGTTGGATCTGACACCTGCCTGAAGCTCCCAACACCACCCCCCACCCCAAATCCTCTCCTCTGTATCCACCCAGCTCCCATCCCCCAGAGCTGAGGTTTTAGCTCGGGTTCTGTAATCAATAGGTTCTTTAATCAATCAACCTAAGCTTAGTTCACTTGCTTGCTCTTTCTTTCTTTCTCTTTGTAGTAGATCTAAGCTGTAAGAAATAGGTAAAAATTATCACTTGAGCTCAATGAGAGAGGTTTACTGGGAAGAGACAATCTAATTGATTATTACTGCTGTTAATAACACTAGTTAATTTGAGTAAAGACTCTGATAAGTTTTTTACATGGATTCCTTCATTTAATCCTCACATCAACCCAGGAAGTAAGTCTTGTCGTTATAATTCCCATTCTTTTACTGAACAAATAAAAAAATTAAATTTTAGAAATGTTCCCAAAGATTTGACAACTCAAACTAGGCTAACATGGGAAAAAGAGATATTTTTTAAATAGTCTTAAAAAATTCTTAGCAACAATTTGTTCTCCCAAATAGGAGGTTAACCACTCTCTTTTTAACATTTCATAACCTTCTAATTTGTTCAGCAGCCTTGTTTTTCTTTGATGATGTGGACCACGAGCCAACAAGCTATGGCCCCCAGACCAAATGCAGCCTGCCACCAAAAAGTGTACAGTCCCTAAGCTAAGACTGGCTTTTATGGTCTTAAATGGTTGGAAAGAAAAAGGAATATTTTGTGACACGTGAAAATCATATGAGGGGCCAGCCTGGTGCGCAGAGATTAAAGTTCACACGTTCTGCTTCTGGGCGGCCCGGGGTTCGCCGGTTCAGATCCCGGTTGCGGACATGGCACTGCTTGGCAAAAGCCATGTTGTGGTAGGCGTCCCATGTATGAAGTAGAGGAAGATGGGCATGGATGTTAGCTTAGGGCCAGTCTTCCTCAGCAAAACGAGGAGGATTGGCAGTAGTTAGCTCAGGGCTAATCTTCCTCAAAAAACAAAAAGAAAAAAAAATCATATGAAATACAAATTCAGTGTCCATAAATGAAGTGTTTTTGGAATGTGGCCACACTCATTTGTGTACGTGTTGTCTATGGCTGCTTTTGTGCTACAGTGTCAGACTTGAGTGGCTGCTACAGAGAACCAGAAAGCCCAAAATATTTACCATCTGGCTCTTTACAGAAAAAACTTGCCAACCTTTCATATGGAATAAACTTCAGTCCTATTCCCATTCAAATTGTACCAGATTCTGAATTTCCAAGCCTAAAAAAGTGCTTTGCTCTGGTTTAGATAAAAGATAATTTCCTTCCTTTAAGAACATCCTGTAACACCACAATGCTATAGAAAAAAAGTGGGCACAGTTGTCTAAATAAGACTCACTTCACATCAGCAGCATAAATTATCTAAAACTTGGAATCTCAAGGAAACTAAACATCCCCCTGCTCTTTTTTTTTTTTAACGGTAATTCACTTAACACATGCTTTTCCTGTACCATAAGATAAGCATCACCTCAGTCCCAGTCAGCATTTGGCTAATTTTGGCTCAGTCAAAACAGAAGAAAACCTGGACACAGGCCCTGTGCTGTGACATCAGCAAGATGAACTCTCGGTGAATGTGAGTGCGCGGCCGTCTGCTTTGGAAGGCCTCATTTTGGCATTAGCCCTATGGAGCACCAATCCTCATGGAGCAGGAAAGGCCCTTCCTATCATGGCTGGCTTAACAGGCGATCTGTGTGTCAGAAGGGCTCATGCCAGGTTTAATGCTTTGCTGTCACCTCTTGAAATTCTTAACGATTTTTTAATAAGAGATCTTGCATTTTCATTTTGTGCTAGGCTCACAAATTATATAGCTGGTCCTGCTTCCTATAGATGGCTACGTACAGGCAACAGCATGTCAGGGAATGTGAAAGAAAGCTCCTGCACAATGAATTTTTTGCTCCATATCCACATGTCCTGTGGAGGAAAATGTACGGCAGGATCTTGTAGAGAAGATCTTGCTTTGTCTCACTTACCAACAGTGTGAATCAGAGGTAGATGATGAACTCCTCCGAGCCTCTCTGTTCTCACCCATAAAATGGGCTGATAATATTTATTCCGTCCCAGGGGCTTGTTTTGAGGATCCAAGGAGGCAATGTGGGTGAAAGCATGCACTTGGAGAACTGGGAAACCCGTATAGAAATACAAAGCACACTTTCCTTAAGGATTGAGCAAGGAGATGCCGCAGGAGGTCTCCCATGGGGCTCTGAGCTGGCCTCATCACTGCTCTCCTGCTGCTCCTTAAATCAGTCTCACACTGCAGCCCAAGCGATTGGCAAAAACAAAGCCGTGCTCCTGTCACTGCCCTGCTTAAAACCCTTCAGTGGATCTTCTCTGCCCTTAGGACGCGGCAGAGGTCTTGTAACAGTGACTGTGGGCCCTGAAATCCAGGTACCTCTTAAGCTAAAATGAACCTCAAGGAAAGAATAACCTGAACAAATGGCATGTGAGAGCAACCCAAGAAGGGCCTGGGTCATAGATGTTTCTCTCTAAAACAAACGGATGGGCCAAGAACATCATTCAACTTATCTTGAGACTTGAGACTGAGCATCTCTAAGGAGGGAGGCAGGTCTTATTCTTGTGCCAGGATCTAGAGCAATACCTGGCCTGGAGCGGATATGAAAGAGAGGTTAACGGTGAGACTCAGAGTCAGGTAGCTTGGAGTTATAGCTTCCTCGGCCACCTGTTAGGGCTGGAACCTGGGGTGGGTCACTGAGCCTCCAGTTCCTCTCATGCTGCTGTGAGGATTAGGTAAGACACGGCATAGAAGTGCCTGCTTCAGTGCCTGGCACATGATGAGAAGCTGGGACATGGTAGGTGCTGCTCCATCAATTGTAGGATCTGGAGTTCACTGTATCAATAGCAGTGACCTTACTAAAACAGTTTGTATTTCCTTATATTGTGTAAGGACTCATCATTTTATCCACAAGTAATATGCAAATAGACTAGAATGTGGTCGAGATCATTACTGGTAAATTTCTTGAATGACTAGGTTTGAAACTTCTAAAAGTAATTCAATTTCAGACTCTGATTTTGGTTGCTCTACCAGTTTTCGCACTTCTTACCTGTGGATAGTTTTCTAATGAACGTTTAAAATCAGTAACACTGTAAACACCTTCTTTAAAGATAAAAACTCCTTTTTCAACGTACCCTTTCATATCTTGATTCAATTCTTTTTAATGTTTCATACCCTGAGTCTCTCGGGATATAGGAGGTTATGTGGCTATTTTCTGGTCTGTTTATTTGTTTTGTTTTTCCAAAAGGACAATCTCTGGATAAAATGTGGAGTGTTGTTTTATATATCTGGACACAGCCACCTGGGTCATCTTCTCCAGAACACCCGGTGATCTCAGGGAAAACCATTTCCTCCCAGAATCCCTCATGGTGGCCCCATCTAACTATTTTGGAGACATGAACCCATTAACCTGTTTAGAGTAATTGATATCCTACCCAAGAAAATGCATACACGATTTTGCACGCATTATTTTCCCCAGAGGGTTTATGGACCCCGGGAAGCCCACCCATGGTAGTGTCAGGGATGAGTGGTCTCAGTTTGAACCCCTTCCCTAACATACTAACTACTAGTAAAAGCTTAATATATGCCCCTCCAACTTCTCCATCTTCCAAATGTATTTGCATTTTAACAGGGGGAAACTTGGCCCAACTGAGGGGACTCAAATTGTACCAGTGGAATTTGAATGCCAGGCTCTAGCAATAGGCATGAAGTAGAGGAATCTTAGGCCAGGGGCAAGCCATTACTCATTATTCATTTATTGTGTGTTATATTTACTTTTCTTGAAATTTTCAAACACAATTATGGTTTCATACCAACACACTCCCAAGCCTCCTTATCAAGGATTTAATAGCTGGAATCCTGCCCAAACAACGTTTGTAAGCCAGGATCATAAACATAAAAACAGAGACAGCCCGAATGTTAACACACTGCTATTTTGCAGGATGAAAACTCATATTATATCAGTGAAGTGGGCGCCTATTTGACCGTCTCAAATCCAGGTAAGGAGCTGGAGAAGGCTGTTCCCCCAGCAATAACACCGTGTTTCTGGTTCTGGTCATTTTTTATCCCATTGAATTTGCTAATCTTTGACGCTACTTTTGAGAAACAGACTGAGAGAGTACCCAGCAACATAACTTTGAGGGAACTTACTGTATCTTTGTGTGCTTCCTTTTGCTCATCTGCTCATGAAGGAGGTTGGACAACATGAGGTCGGAGATTACGATCAGCAACAATAGAGAGTTAGTGACTGCTCCACAGATTTGCTATTGATGCTACAGTTTGTTCTACACCCTTGGAAGCATGCATTTGTTCTGTGAAAATGGAGCGAGTGCCTGCTAGCTGCCAAGCCCTTTAGTGGGCCCTGGGGATCCATAATTATCCAAACATATAGTCCCTGCCCTCATGGAACTTACATTCTAGAAGGGGGAACTTTACATTCTATAAAATTATAATACATTGTTCAGCGGTGATCAGTTCTATGAGCAAACACAAGCCATATGGGGGTGGGGAGGACTGGAAAGATGCTTTAGGAAAGCAGGGAATACTTTAGGTATAGGTACTTTAGGGTGATAGAGAAGCCCTCAGGGGACAAAGGCCTCTCTGAAGAGGTGAAGCTTGAGCAGAGAGATGTCCCCATTTGGGGACATCTGGGCCTGGGCAAGCTATTTCCAGGTGGCAGGAACAACAGATGCACAGGCCCTAAGGAGGGAGCTCACTAGTGTGTTCAAGGACCAGCAGGGGCCAGTGTGCCTGAGAGAGTGAGCAAAGCAGCAGGTGAGGTCTGAGGGGCAGCCAGGCCAGAGCATGCGGGGCCTGTGGGCGAGGCAAGGTCAGCTCCAGATTTTATTCTTAAGTGTGAAAGGATGCCATTGGAGGGTTTGGTGTAAGGAAATCATCTATCAGATTTACCTTTGGTTGCTGTGTGGAGACTCGCCCATAGTGGGGCAAGTTGAGAGAACTCCTGCAATGTTCACTTGTAGAAAAGTAATACTCCCAGTCAAGTCAGAGAAGTTTCTCAGAGGCCTCAAACGTTTCTGGGGAAAGCCCAGACTTAGACAGCAAACTGTTACAGAGCACCTCCTCCATGCCAGGTTCTGTACCGAGAGTTTTCATGTCTGTTTTCTCCTTTTCAAAAGTCTTTCGACTGAAGATGTTGTCAATGATTATTGGTTAAATCTGAGTAGATGTCATAGTTGACACTTTCATATACATTAACTCACTTAGCCGAGTCTCCTCATAGAGGCTGAGGAATAAATGGTGTCAATGCTAACATCAATTAGCTAATGTTTTCAGTAGGAATGGATCAAATTTTAGCTAGTAATGGGGTAGCAGTGTCTCAAGAGGCAGGGGGAGGGAAAGTTAGGTTAGAAACTAACTTAGAGGCTGAGGGAGGGGATAAAACAATTCTAGGTCCCAATGCTCAAGGCTCAGCAGTGGCAGAGGAGCTGTAGTAGTAACAGAAGTTATCATGTTCATGTCAATGGTGGTGGTGGTATAAGTAACAGTAGTTAGTTGTAACTACAGTGTTAATGACCGTTGTAATGTTAGTAGGCGTGCTAGTAGCAGACCATCCAGGATGTGACACATGATACAGTAGTGTACACGGATAATTCAGTACATCATGTAGGACATTTGCATGTACAAATGCAGGAGTGTACAGTAAATACTGCGGTAATGGGCGGGAGACCCAATAGCAGAGTGGGTAAGATAAGGTCTGGAGTCAGACTGCTTGAGCCCAAATACCACGTACTAGCTGTATGATCTTAGGCAAACGTTTTCAACTCTCTGACTCTCTGTTTCTTCATCTGTAAAGTGGAGAGAGTAGTACCTACAGTAGTCCCCTGCTTATCCGAGGGGGAGTCTTTCAAAGACCCCCAGTGGATGTCTGAAACCACAGAAAGTGCCAAATACTATATGTACCATGTTTTTCCCTATACATACATACTTACAATAAAGTTTAATTTATAAATTAGGCACAGTAAGAGATTAACAACAATAACATAATAAAATGGAACAATTATAACAATAGACTGTAATAAAAGTTACTGTAGATCTTAACAACCTCAGCATATGATTTTTTTCCTTTCCTTATTAAGTCGAGAACTTTCACCTTTTCATTTAAAGGAAGCATTTTACAGCTTCTCTTTGGCATATCCGAATTGCAGCATCACTACCTTTGTGCTTGGGGCCATTATGAAGTAAAGTAAGGGTGACTGAACACAAGCACTGCGATACCGTGACAGTGGATCTGATAACCAGCTGCTAAGTGACTCGCAGACGGGTCGCGGGTAGCATACACAGCGAGGATGCGGCTGGACAAACGGATGATTCTTGTCCAAGCGGGATAGAGCAGGAGGATGTGAGATCTCACCACCCTACTCAGGACAGTGCCCAATTTAAAACTTATGAGTTGTTTATTTCTGGAATTTTCCATTTAATATTTTCAGACCACTGACTGCAGATAACTGAAACCATGGAAAGAGAAACCACGGATAAGGGCAGACTGCTGTATCTCAAAAGACTGTTTGTTATCAGAACGAAGCAGGAAAGGGCATGTAACATACTTGCACAGCGCCCAGCACACAGTGAGCAGACCCTCAACGTGTAGTGTTATCTCAGAGGGCAAACAAGCCACAGAGACAGGCAAGGACGGAGACTCCCAGGCCCCCTCACTAACAGCCCGTGGGTATTCCTTGGAGGCATAACTTTGGTGAATTCACTGAGGCCCATGGTCTGGTCTTCAACCCCAGGAGCTGTCAGCACACCCTGAGGTAGCAGCTGTCTCTTCAAGGAGACTGATGTTAAACAAGGTCACAAAACTGATGTATACAATCAGAATGCCAGTTTGCTCATTTCTCATGCCACTATTTCTTACTCTAACTGCCAAGGGGACCAGACAGTGTGGTCCTCTGGCCAGTGAATTTTCTCTCATTCAGGAAGCCAAAGTATACTCAAAAGGGCACTTTATGAATGTGGAATTAGGGCAAATAGAGTTAATTGTATGATTAAAATGTTGAACCCATCTGCTTGAAGCATATACCTCCTTGTGAGGGGTGTATCCATCACCACACAGGGTGAGTCCTCGAGCAGGTCTTTCTCTCTCCAGCAGCACTCCAAGGAGCAAAGACGGGCCTCTTCCTTCTCTCTGTTTCCATGGATGGATGCAACAACCCCTTCCAGTGATCCACTTAGTCCCTCCTTTTGCTATACTAATACTTTCAGTCTGGTGATACCAAAATATTCTGCTTGGGAATTTGCATGTCTCTGCTCTGATTCATTAAGGGTTCATGTAGGGGGCCGGCCTGGTGGCACAGTGGTTAAGTGTACCTGGTTGGCTTCGGCGGACCGGGGTTCGATGGTTCAGATCCCAGGTGTGGACATGGCACCATTTGGCATGCCATGCTGTGGTAGGTGTCCCACATATAAAGTAGAGGAAGATGGGCACGGATGTTAGCTCAGGGCCAGTCTTCCTTAGCAAAAAGAGGAAGATCGGCAGCACATGTTAACTCAGGGCTAATCTTCCTCAAAAAAGAAAAAGCGTTCATGTTATTTTGTCTCAGAGACCAATCTTACTTCTTTTATTTCTGAAGTTTTTTGGGACACTTCACTGTAGACCCCAAGCATTAGCACAAGTCACCACCAACTCTACCCACAATGATTTAAAATAATGGAAGAAAACATTCCCCAAAGTTTTCATTTCAATGTTACCACTTTCCAATTTATGTGAGGTTGCCCCCATATGCTCCAAACAGAGCACCAGGAAAGGTCCCCAGCAAGCACCACGGTGATTTTTCATGGGGAGAAGGTGGCAGAACTCTGGAGAGCCACGACTAAAGGAAAGCCATTATACTGCACATGGGCTGCCCAGCAACAGCTGGAACTCAGTGGATATTTGCCAGGATTCTTATATGCTTCTATTTCACCTTTGTGTTTTCAGAGAAAACTTACCAAGGAATGAAAAGTCCTGTGGTGATGTTTGAGACTGTGATTGGGCATTCCTTCAAGTGTGTGAGTGAACAGAGCCTCGAGCTGTCAACCCAGCTTCACCTGAAAACAACGAATGTCCAACTTCAAGCCTTTGATTTCGAAGATGACAACTTTGGAAATGGTAAGTTAAGGGTTCATCCTGTCACAGACATAAACTTCAGAGACCCAGGGGTAGTTTCACGTTGTCTTTGTTTGAAGCTGTCAAAGGGACAAGGATCACTGAGTTTCCTAGAAGAGTAGGATTGCACAAAGCTTTTAGGGCCAAGTTTCTCTGGCCAACCCTCCCTCCCACCATTCCTCTATGAGTTAATACCAACCTCAGAATCAGACACCTTAACTCACTCATGTCCACTGCTCTCCCACGGCAGAGTACATTCTCCTTGTCTGACCAAAATATGTCCTCTGATATTTAAACACCCCCACACACGAACACAACAAACACTCAACCAAAAAGTCAGAAAGCATTATCTGCAAACTCCCCTTAGGAGCTGTTGAGTACTGGTAACCTCAGGTATATTTGGAGAACACTTTAAAGATCCTGAGTACTAGTGATGTCTAAAAGTCAAGATTTCAGGATAGATTCTTTCCCCCTTGCAGAGGGAAAAGAGAAAGATGTGGTCATTCAAGACAGAAATACACGCTGTGGGATCCCCTCTTCTCAAAGACAAGCTGCCCCACCCTGCTAGTACTTCCTCATAGTTAGTTTCCATGCCGCTTCTGCTTTGGGTTGTAACCACCACAGAGGGAAGCAGGTCCTGGGAGGAAGGTGAGGGAAGACCAGGGTGACTTTCCAAAAAAGCCCGGTCCTCCCTGCCCAGGGCGCAGCGTTGCAAGGATTTCTACCTCTGACCAGGAATTGAACTGCAGGCTCCGGAACATCCTCTCCCCATCGCTCAACGACACTATGAGTACCTCTCACTTATCAAAAGTAGACTTAGCTAGAAGTTTAGCCGTAAATTAAATTGCTATAATGTGAATCTGATTTCTGTTTGAGTTCCATTATAAAGTTGAAGATGTGTCTGGCAGAAAACTTCTGGTATATTTGGCGGAAAGCAGTTGACAAAGGAAGGATTAAAGTGTTGCTGGCCTTGGACCCCCTGATTTCTGCAGTTTTGTCTGAGTCTTACAATCTCTATCTTTGCTTTGGACCTTTAGCACAGTCCTAAGGTTAAATACTAAAATTTGCGGGGCTGGCCCCATGGCCGAGTGGTTAAGTTCGTGCACTCCGCTTCAGTGGCCCAGGGTTTCGCTGGTTCGGATCCTGGGCGCGGACATGGCACCGCTCATCAGGCCATGCTGAGGCAGCGTTCCACATAGGACAATCAGAGGCACTCACAACTCGAATATGCAACTATGTACTGGGGGGCTTTGGGGAGAAGAAGAAGGAAAAAAAAAAAAGATTGGCAACAGTTGTTAGCTCAGGTGCCAATCTTTAAAAAAAAAATAGGTTAGCTAAAAATAAATAAAATTTGCTAGTAGGTGTTGCCCCCAGTTTGTCATGTGATCTTAAAAATAAGGTGCACACTTGCTCTTCCTGCCCCTCAGAACCTCTGTGAGGCAGGAAGTGAGCAGGTCTGGGAACCGCTTAGTGGCAGAGATGACAAATAAAACCACTCAGCAGCACACACCTGACCTTCTATTAGCAGTGCTCACAGGGAGATGTACAAAAGCTAACTTTTCGTTTTTGCCCTCTCCCCCGCTCACCGTCTTATACAAATAGTCCCAAAGCCCCATCAATTCTCCCTCCAAATTATTTCTCATTCCACTGTCACTGCTTCAGCTCAATTCCATATTCCCAGTCTTTGTTCTTCAAATTTCACTAAAGACACTCAAATGTGAAGTTGTTATTCTGTAAATAACATTTTCTACCAGAGAGTAAGAGAAGAGGAAAAAAGGAGCAAGTTAAAAAATAAAAGTTACCACACGACATGATGTTATAAAAAAATACATGTACTGTGGGAACACAGAGGCAGGTGTGAGTAACAGTGTTGGGAGAAGGGGTCAGAAAAGTCCTGAGCAATGGGTGACATTTCAACAAGGGCTTCAAGAACTGGAGAGGAGTCCAGCAGGTGTGTAAACAGCCCTATCAAAGAGAATGGTCATCCCAAACAGAGACTCCTGACGCCCACATTCTCAACCCCTCTTCCCGAAAAACCTGGAGCCTGCAAAATGTTTCTCAAGTCCTAGGAGCCCCAGGCTGTCCAGCAGCCCCTTTAAGAAGCATAGTGGGTTGTTTTTTTTTTTTTTTTTGAGGAAGATTAGCCCTGAGCTAACATCTGCTGCCAATCCTCCTCTTTTTGCTGAGGAAGACTAGCCCTGTGCTAACATCCATGCCCATCTCCCTCTACTTTATATGTGGGATGCCTGCCACAGCATGGCTTGTCAAGCAGTGCCATGTCCGCACCCGGGATCCAAACCGGCGAACCCCAGGCCGCCGAAGCGGAACGTGTGCACTTAACCACTGTGCCACCCGGCCGGCCCCAAGAAGCATAGAGTCTGAGTAAAAAATTTTGGCCATGTGATTTGGTGCGGGTCCCAGTTTCCAGGGTTGGGAAATATGGCTCTGAGGCTTACCCTGGCTTGAGAATCAAGACACGATTCTGATCCTCACCCTCTTGACCAACCCAGTGTTTCTCAAAGTTGGAGCTGCCTCCCAGCTGCATCAGAATCTCCTGGGCGCCCCCTCAGACCCACTGAATCATAATTTCTTGGGTGTGGGGCCTGGGGATCTGCAAGTTCATACACTGCTGAAGTGATCACAAACACTACAAATTTCAGGTGGTTGCACTGACTTTTTCTCTCCCTGTTTTCACGCATCTGTGTCCCTGAGGCAGCAGGTGGGAGGCCCAGCAGCTCCATCTCCCCCTCGGTTTCCCTCTTGGGGATGCAGAGGCTGGCTGGGGCAGTATCACTTCCCAGCACTGTGGCCAGCCTGTAACACCTGTTACTCTGACTTCACTTGCAGCGGATGAATGCTTCAGTGACAGAAACAGGAGAGAGATCCCTGTGGCCGTGGGCCTGAGTATCACAGGACTGCTTGTCGTTTTGCTAACAGCATGCCTGGTGGCCAGAAAGCAGCCCAGTAGAGGATACGAACGCATGTAAAACCCACCTTCTTCACAATGTGCAAGGTTAAGACCTTGGGGACTCTGGCTTCACATTCAGCCTGAAATGAAGGGATTGACTTTTTAGCTGTGTGTCCCACCCTCCCACTCTGATTAGGAAACCTAGCTTTCCACCACAGGGCCATCTGAAGGCTGGCTAAAATGAGCCCCCACCCCATCTTCTCCTGTTAGCGTGGGGAGGCTGTGCCATATGGGCTCAAATTCCATCTTCCGTACCTGATAATCCAGGGCTGGCTGCGAGAATTAGGGACCAGAGGCAGGGATATGAGCTAGGTTTGTGAGAAAGAGAAAGCAAATACCCAAAGGGAGAACTGTGGGAAAGACATCTTCAAACTGTACTGACTTTTCTTATGCATTTTCAAGAGTCTCAATATCCAGTTTTTTAGAAAGAATATTACTTTTAAAAAACTGATCCATTTCAGAATAGATTCTAAAGTGATTTTAAACTCCTAGATTTTGACCAATTCCTGATTTACTTAAATTACAGATGGTCTAAATAGACTATCATTTTTAAAAAGACATATTCTATACTATTATAATGTATTATTAGTGAAAAACTAGAAAACTTCCCATAATTCATTTTTTTAATGTAAAGCACATACCTAAGATGTTGGCAAATGAAGAGACTCAGTAAATGTTAGTTCTCCAATTCCTTCACCTTCATTTGATGTCTGCCTTCTGAACGCTTTTTTTTCCTGCTTTATCTCTATTTTCCTTTGATTCTGGTCTATCCTTGTAAATTTGTTAATTTGGGCCATTGTGGGGAGAGGAGGCGAGCAAAGCTGCAAAACTTCATCAGAAATGGCAAGCAGAAGCAGTAGGTCTACCCCGATTATTACCCGCTTTCCTTTTTCAGCAAACATTTACAAAAAAATTGTAAACCAGGAAATTCTGATTGGAAGTGAGGGATGTCTGGAGGAAAAGTTCTATTAAAGTACGGCTAGGAATGTTACTCATGGTTTTCTATTACATTGACTATTAAATAGGAGAATGGGGGTCTTATTTCAGAGAAATAGGAGAGTAACGGACTTCTGGATGTTTTTAACTGCTTTTACCGAGAAGTTTTCTTGTTTTTCTACATTTTCCAGAGGTGCCACTTTTTATCTTTAATGGAAAGTTTGTGAAAGTTGGCAACGAGTTTCTAACCACTGCTTATCTAGGACAAGCACTGCTTTCCTTTGAGGTGTTTTAGCTCCCTCCACTTTCTCAGCAGTAAGCAGGGAGGGACGGCTGAGTGTCAGGAAATTCCTGTTTCCTGCTTATAGCAGGAGATGTTGTTGAAAAGCTGGGGTGTGAGGAGCCTGTGTTGCCCAAAGTGACTCAGGTTTAACAGCAAGGGCTTGGCTCTAGAGAGAGGCCGTCTGCCTCCACCTGTTCCCTCCAACCAGCATCAATGGTACCCCCACTCCAGACTCTGTTTCCAGTTCTGCCTCAAGAGTTCTTGAAAGGTTCTATACTGCCCAGCACAAGTTGTTTATTCACGGTGCCCCTAACCATTCTGTAGAATGACTAAAGGAGGGTTCATCTTCCAGCATGTGGAAAAAGAAATTCAATTAAAATCAAGAAAAGAAGGCTAAGGCTGTTTACTTAAGTTTCATTTTCCTTCCTACCGTCTTCAATGAGTTCTTCGGAGTGACGGCTATTGCCTAGACTTCTGTTATATACCCACCACCCACTCCTGCCAGTTATCTTTAAAATTACTTTGAATTAACATTCTAGTAACCCCGAAGAGCAAAGGTTTCATTTGAAAGACTAGGAAGTAAATGCCTGGACGCATTACTGCCTTGCAATTATGCCCACTTTCTGCAGTGACATCCTGGGGGGTCCCAAGGAGGGGAAGTGCTGGGATGGAGACTGCTGTCAACTGCATGTCTGGAAGTGGCCTCCTCTGCCCCCTGGGGTTTGTGCTACCTCCGAGTCTGTCTCTTAGGGCTGCAGTTCAGTGGCTTCGAGGCTTATTGCAGAAGCTGCTTGTCACTTTCTGGGGTCAGGGCAGAAGGCTGCTGTGAACGCTTGCGATGCCCTGCAGGGACTTTCCTGACCTGTCTGCTGTCACTTGCCCCTTGCTGTTAGCTCACCTGCTGGTTGCCCATCCTGCTGGTTTTAACTCGGTTTTCCCCTTCTGCTGAGGGTAGTGTCCTGAATTCACCCCCTCCCCGCAACCCACCTGGAGATAATGGAAATCCTCCTAGAGATAATAGAAACCTTCACTAATGCCCACCCGCGGGTAACCTAGCCATTGTTAATTTTGATACATTTCCCTCTCATGAGTATTGTTTTACAGACTGGAAGCATACACAGTACACAATTTGCTATCCTTTTAACCTGTGCATCATAAGCGTTTCTTCATGCTGTTAAAGGTGCAAAGTATCATTGTTATGGCTGCCATGATGAATATGCTATCAACAATATACAGTAATTTGCTTGACTATTCTGTTACTGAGAATTTTTGTTGTTTCTAGGTTTTCACAATTATAATGTGATTAAAGAACTACATATGAATTACGTACAAAACAAACTTTGATTAACAAATGTGTATAAATGTGTGCCTGAATTTTGGTTTTGTCCCGTAGAATAAATTGTTTAAAATGATTGTAATTTATTCTTCAGTACCAATTCTTGATTTTTAAGAAAAAAATGGAAACAAAAGAAATGCATATAGATGGTTAAAAGAATTTTAAGCACTATAGAAATTCATGAAATGAAAAATTGGAGTTAAAACAATGACTAGAATTTTCCTTCTTCTCTAATAGATTGAGGGGGGAAAAGTTTTTAAAAATCATTAGTAACAGTCAGTGTTATGTAACCTAATGCAACACACTTTTAAAACTGGTGAAAAAAAAGAAACAATTCAGGGGCCAGACCAGTGGCATAGTGGTTAAGTTTCCATGCTCCGCTTCAGTGACCTGGAGTTTGCAGGTTCAGATCCCGGGGGCAGACCTACAACCGCTGTTCAAGTCACGCTGCAGCAGCGTGCCACATAAAATAGAGGAAGATTGGCACAGATGTTAGCTCAGCAACAATCTTCCTCAAGCAAAAAGAGGAAGATTGGCAACAGATATTAGCTCGGGGCCAATCTTCCTCACAAAAAAAGAAAGAAAGAAACAAGATTCAGAGGAAGAGTGGAGAGGGGCAGCAGAGCGGGACCCCTCACCCTGCCTCCTCTGACACACCTACCCAAGAAGCCATATGATGAGAGAAAAAGATCCTGTGATCTAGATTTTTAGAATGTCCACTAATCTAGGAGAAGTGAAAATGGGTACTGGGAAGACTAGGCCAAGTGAACACAGACTGATGGATGTGAAGCGAGGAGCCAACCCAGGACCAGAGGCTATGCCCAGGCTGGAGCTAGCTCCCCAGGTACAGAAAAGAAGGTAGAATCCCAATAGGGAGCTCAGCGGGAAACAGGAACTGATCTCAGCTACAGTGGGAAGAAAGGCACTAATTTACCCAAACAATATCATAGGTGTCGACTGAAATAAAACATAGGTGATATTAGTGAAGGAGTTTACTCAGTAATCAGTGTGAGGAGTTCGAACCCTGGGAAAACAGTTCAGCAGAGCGTTCTGATGGAACTGCTCCCAGGGGTGTGGGTTTAGGCGCAGCTTATATCTCTTTCGCAAACAGCGCACGTGCAGGAACAAGGAAAGGAAAAAAAGGAAAGTTAGAAGTAGATTTCCAAAAAGAGGGGGATAGGATACATCTGGGTTTTTCTCTAGATTATACATTGAAGGTGGCATAAACAAGAATGCCTTGGTTATACATCAAACAAATTCTGAGATGCTGACATCAGCTATGTGTGGCGGGAGGCAAGGATGAGGGTCCTTAATTAGTCCCTCAGTCTCTAAGAAATGCGGCTGGAAAATGTGAGAGCGAGGTCCCCCTTTATCTCTTCCTGCTGTGGATCTGTCCAGCTGGCGTCTTCGGTCATGAGGTGTGGGGCTGCAAGGTTATTTGACACAGGCTGAGATGGCCCGCACGGCTGCTTCACAGCACAGCGTGGATTTTATTGGACTGACTTAAAGCCTACGCAGTTTGCTTACTAGATTGGCCTGTTAGACCAGGGAGAGGGGCCCCCGAAATCTGTCCTCATAGGAAATTCAGTGTCTGGATGAGATGCTCAAGCATGAGCAAGATGAAAAGAAACCACATGATCACTAAGCAAAATTATTACAGCAAAATAACGATAATATAAATGTCAATTAAATTGGGGGTACAGAGTTTTCATTTTGGGAGAAGAAGAGTTCTGGAGAAGGAGCACGGTGATAGTTGCACAAAAATGTGAATATACTTAATGTCACTGAACTGTACATTTAAAAACGGTTAAAATGACAAATTCTATGTTATGTTCATTTTACCATGGTTTTGAAAATTAAATTAAATTAAAGGAGGGAGGGTTAGAAAGGAATATCATTGAGAAAGTACAAAGAAAATATAACTCACGGAACAGAGAGAAATCCCTGACGATTGGTTTTGCTGAGGATCACTTAATAAGAATGTGAATTCCGTGTGACCGGAGCTCATAGATGAGATGTTATAAGGAAAGTGTGAGATGAATAGGAGATTTCGCTCCTAAGAAAACAAATCGACTCTCACAGCAGCACGCTTACATGATGAACAGAAATAGTAAGAAACAGAATAGAGCTGAAAACTGAGTTATCTTCATGGAGAGAATGACTGAGATAGTCAGATAATGCGGATAAAAGTTAAGATTATACCGTTACAGGGAAGATGCTAGGTGTGGAAGATATTCAGATCATCTAAAGTAAGGATAATTGGTGCTTCTGAAGTAGAGAGTTCAAAAATAAAAGGAAGATACATTTGATGATGTAAGAGATTTTCCTTTACAGACGTAATTGAAGTTGCAGGCTGAGAGATCCCAGAAAAAAAACTGCTATAGAAAGCTTAACATTAAGACATATCCAAAGTAAGCTATAGAACTTTAAAGATAAAGAAAGAATTCTTTAGACACACAAACTCCCCCGCCCTCTCAAAAAGCAAATCACTTACAAAGGGGGAAAGTTAAAGTTGGCCTCAGATTTCCTCACAATGAATGATATTTAAAGCCAGCAAACAATAGATCAATGTCTACCAAACCCTAAGGGAAAACAGCACCCAAAAATATTACTTCTGTGTAAATATAATAAGCAGATATCTTCAAACACGAAATAATTCAAGAGATAAAGCACCAATGAGCTCTTCTTAAAGATACCTTGACAATGAAATTTGAGGAGATCAGAGAGAAGCCACATTATAAACAAGGATATAGCCAACTATCCCGCAGGAATAGAGAAGTCACAGTTGACAAAAAAAGCATTTTATCTACTTAGTTACGTACAAAAAGCATTAAAGAATTATGGGTCTGAGATTTATCATACGAATACACTTTCTCGTATACAAAATGGTATATGTACCTAGCTATTCATTACAGCATTATTTGTAATAGCAAAAGATGGAAAACAAATCAAGGGTCCATCAATCTGGGACAGGTACATTCCACAGCAGAATACTATACAGTTATAAAAAGGAGTGAGAACACACATACTTATGTATGTACAACTAAAGTTATCCAAAATATATTGTTAAATGAAGAAAGCATAATGCATGATAGTGAGAAAAAAGGGGAAAGGCAATACATATTTATTTTTGCTTGTATCTCAAACAAGGGAAATATATATATGAAACGAAGTTGTTGTCTAATCAAAGGGGGAACTACAAAGATGAGACAAGGGTGGAAGTGCAGCTTCTCAATGTATGACAGCATTTTGTACTCTTTTGACTCGAAACAATTTTTTAAAACTATAGGAATGATAGCTATCAAATAGAATTGAAATATTGTAAACTTCAACGTTTTAAAAAATAATGTAACTATTCACAATTTGATTTGGGAAGAAGAGAGAAGGGAAACTGTTAGTAGTAATCTTTGAAAACAGTATCAATAGGTAGTATCTAAATTGGAAACAGTTTAGAAAACACACAATATCTCTAATTTATTTCTAACCTCTTAATACATTTTATAATCTTTTAATGTGTGTTTATAATCTCTTTTCTGAACCTTAAAGGGATCTTTGATGACACAATATTTCCTGTGACAAAATCACATTTATTTGAAGTGTAGCAATTTCTCCAGTTTTGTTTTAGTTTTTTTCTTCTATGAAATTCAAGTAAAATTAAAAGAATAATTTTGGTAAAATAGCACTTGTATGATCCTATTTTAATAAAAATGCTTCTATTTATTTTTCCATCCATCTGTTGTTATAGTTGTGAAGAAAGACTCCTGAAATAATATTGGTTCATTCTTTATAATAATGTCGGTTCATATTTTAGCAATGATAATTTCTAGGTGAGTGGTTTCCAGGTGATTGGTTTTTACTTTTTTATTTGTGTTTTTCTAGATCATTTAAATTATTTATAATAAGCAAATATCATTTTTAAAAATAGAATGATTTTTCTGTAGGCATGCACATGAGCACACACACACTCATACATGTCAGAGGAAGCAAATGCCTCAGAAGGTTTACAGTGATTAATTCAAGTGGAAGAAATGTAGTGATTGGATAATTATTTTCTTTCTGTACTTTTCAGCCTGTTAAAAATGTTTAAACAATGTCATATTAAATAGTATAAAACTATAGGGAGAAAAAAGTTGCCTTCTACTCCCCACCCCACCCTTCCCCAGCTTCTTGTATATGTTTTCCCTCCAGGTGCACATGCACATTTGTTTGGGTTCATGAGATACTTCACAGATCTTCAGGAACTTCCCTATCAGCACATTGAAATCTACCACTTTTTTTTTTTTTTTTTTTTGGTGAGGAAGACTGGCCCTGAGCTAACATCTGTTGCCAATTTTGTATGTGAGTGGCACCAAAGCATGGCTTGATGAGTGGTGTAGGTCCATGCCTGGGATTTGAACCCACGAACCCAGGCTGCTGAAGCAGAACGTGCTGAACTTAAACACTACACCACCGGGCCAGCCCCTACCCCATTCTTTTTCATGGCTACATTATATTCTATTATATGAGTGTACTATTTTAAATTTTTGATGGATATTTAGATTGTCCATTTTGCTCTCATAAAATGGAGATTATTGTAACACATCTTTGTATACTTATGTGAAAATATCTTTAATATATATTCCTAGTAGTGGAATTGTGGGTAGATATGTGCTTTACATTTTGTTTTAGCATTTTGGGGCTTTTTTCCAAATCATTTTAACTTCTTAACTTATCAATGTTCTTTTTTATCTAGGAAATATATGTATTTATTTAAATATATATAAATAACAAAATCATCATGTCCTCTGAGAGGGCTTATCATGCAAAGCAGATTTCCCTGTCTTTCCTTGAAGAGACAAAGCACTTTTAATTGATTTTAACAATTTCTAATGGTAGCTATCTCTATAATTCTTTTTAAAAATATTAAAAAGCTTGTCCTACTATTTCTTAATTTATCAGCCTTAAACTTCCTGCTATGGCAGATAAGGATTTAATACTTTTAAACCATCCCTTTTATGGTTATATCACTATTTTTTGTTAAATCAGTAAGGTATATGTAAATATTGTCCGCTGCGAAGTCAAACCGTGCATGACAAACACAGTTCCT